GAGCTCGATATATTTATTACCAAGATTTTCTATAATTAGAGTACATGAGGCTGAAATCAGTACACCTATCAATTGATTACCTAATACTAGAAATTGATATCTGTATATTGTGTCGGTATATTGATTGCCGAAAATTATGCCAATTGCTTTAAAATTTAATCTCTGTACTCCACCGAACCTATGTATCATAATTTGTTGATTTATTGGGGACCTCAGTTGGCCCAGTTCCAACGTTAACAAAATCTAAGGCCACGAGTTTGCCTTATTAAGGAAGCATACGATGTTTGCAATTGCCATTCATGAACATGTACAGTGGATATTTATCTTGGAAACAAACTACTCAATTGTTTGATTAATGAGTTAAATAGAAGACCTGAAAATTTATCGCTATACGTATTGTACAAATTTATACAATGCAGAAGGCTGTACACATTTTTCGTTTATCCTGAAAACGTTGCTTGGAATAAATTCAGTCACCTATTTACCATTTTCTTGCGACTTTAATTTATTCCTAACATTGTTGGTTTATTTGAAATAATGAAAATTGTTTTTTTTATAATCGACGGTATTATAATTTTTTATTTTTTTTTATTGATAAAGTTTATCACATTCACCATAAGGTGATTAGCGGGAATACAGTGTAGGTGTACAATTCTAATAGTTTAAATTTTATAATATAATCCTATACATTTTAAATATTTTCACAAATCAACATAATTAAAGTCTGTACCTAAGAGTTTATTGATATTGTTTGGAATATTATTGTGTTGTTGCGTTCATTTACAACAAGTGGACAGTCAATTAAAAAGTGTTTAACACTGTTTGTTTCGTCTCAAATTTCACAGTTAGGGGGATTTTCTCTGGTAAACAGGTACGAATGCATATATATTGTATGGCCTAAACGTAGACGAGTAATGATGCAGTTTTCGATTTCGAGTTCTAGGTAGCCATGGATAAACATTGTCTTTAATTTTCCGTAGTGTTGTCTGTGAATAATTCCATTCTTGATTCCACTTACGCGTAATTAAATTTTTTATAGACGTTTTTATATCACCCGCGGGATTTCGACACTACGTTACATCTGTTTCGACACTTTCCGACACTTTACACGCGCACTGATCTGCAGCTTCGTTTCCATCAATACCAATATGAGATAGGATCCATATAAAGGTAATGCGTCTGGAATTTTCTTCATCTTGCTTTAGTTCAGATTTTACCATTTTTTCTAGGGGGCTTTTAGGATACATATGATTTAAGGTTTGTAAAACACCAAGGGAATCACTTAGAATCAAGCATTTTGGTGTTTTATTATTGTTCATATGTTCAGCAGAGACTATGCTGAAATATTTGGGCAGTCTAAATTGAAATTAATTGTTAGACGTTACATATGCATCACCAACTCCTGTGTTGCATTTGGATGCATCTGTAAATATACTGCAGTAATTTTCTCCATGTTTGTTTATGATTGAATTGAGGTTATTTTTAATAACAGCCGGATTTGTAGAATACTTATTAAATACAGTAAGATTATAATTATTTATTTCGGGGATATTGATACACCAAGGTGGAGGATGCTTCAAATTTATTTGAAATATATCTGGAAAATCTAGGTTTAAATATCTTAGATAGAATCGAAAGAAGATGTAAATTTAGTTCAAAGGTAGGGTAAGTAGTAGGTATTTCAATTAAAATCAAATAAGTACTCATTAACTCGTTTATAGAAAGGTGCATAACCCCTTTTTCTTTTTGATATACTTCCTGCAATCTGTTAGTCAGTGCATGATGAAGAACTGGATTTCAAGGTTAAGATTTTATAGTCGAGACATACGACGGAGTTAAGTATTATCTTCTTAGGTTTATGGGTTTCTCTTCAGCTTCAAAGAGTAGACTGTTCACAGGACTGGTGAAATATGCTCCAGGAGCAAGCCTAACGGCTGAACTCTGAAGAGTATCCAAAGTTGTGAGCAATATTTGGTTTGCTGAGTTGTACACAACACATCCATAGTCCAGTTTTGATCTAACTAAAGCTTTATATAAATTTATTAGAGTTAGAAAATCTACTCCCCAATTTCTATGTGGTCCAGACTTCATAATGTTTAGTCCAGGTTGGCACGATAGTCTTAGCCAGTAAATGTGACTTGTTCAGCTTAATTTTGAGTCCAGTTACACCCCTAGGAATTTTATTTCTTTTGTATATTCTATACAAGAATTGTATATAACATGGAGTCAAATATTGGTAGACCATCATTCTATTGACTTAAGAGCTGCGGAAATACGATTATGAGCAGATCATGTTTTTATTTATTGCTACAATTACCAAATCATCAGTGTACAAACGAGTTTCAATTGTGCCATTGCAGTACGACACAAAATGGTTAATAGCAATTAAAAATTTCGCTACGCTTAGATTCTAGCCCTGTGAAATTTCATTTTCCTGTTATTTAGATTCAGACAAATGGCCTTCTTCTTCTTAAAGTTCCATCTCTTATCGGAGGTTGGATATCATAACGGCTATAGTCACTTTGTTGGCTGCTGCTCTGAAAAGTTGTAGTGAACTACAGTTAAACCATTCTCTAAGGTTCCTCAGCCAGGAGATGCGTCTTCTTCCTATGCTTCTTCTTCCTTGGATCCTTCCTTGCATAATAATTCTCAGCAGCTCATATTTTTCTTCTCTGGTTATGTGACTCAAATACTCTAGTTTACTTCTTTTTATGCTGTTCATAATTTCTAACTCCTTATTTAGACGTCTTAGTACCTCAGCATTGGTAATCCTTTGAACCCACTGAATTTTTAATATTCTTCTGTAATACCACATTTCGAACGCTTCTATTTTTCATATGTGTTATTTCTTTAATGTCCAAGCTTCCATTTCGTACAGTAAGATAGATAATATGTAACATCTTAGAGCCCTCAATCTGAGATGCAACTGAAGGTTTCTGTTGGTAAGCATTGTCTTCATTTTCACAAATGCTTGCCTTGCAGTTTTAATTCGGACTTTGATTTCTCTGCTTTGGTCATTTTTGTCATCAACTTGGGTTCCCAGATATTTTTATGTCTCTACTTTTTCTATTTGAGTTTGCTCTATCATTTATCTTTCATTTCCATGTTGCGTTTTTGAGACAATCATAAATTTAGTTTTTCTCTTATTTATTTTTAGTCCGTATCTAATGCAATAATCGTTAATTATATTTACCAACTCTTGTAGCGATTCCAGGGTGTCAGCCATTATAACGGTGTCATCAGCGAATCTTATGTTATTTACTATTCTTCCGTTTACAGAGATTCCATTACCCAGATCCGCTATCGCTTCCTGGAATATGGCTTCACTGTACACGTTAAACAGTAATGATGACAGAACACAGCCCTGTCTTACTCCTCTCTTTATATCTATATTTTCGGACTTTTGTTCTTCTATCTTTATATTGGCCTTACGATTCCAATACAGATTGATAATGATTCGTACGTCTCGTCTGTCTATATCTTTGTTTCTCAGTACTTCTATTAGTTTTTTATGTCGGACCCTGTTGAATGCCTTCTCAAAGTCGATGAAACAGGAATAAATATCTAGTTTCATATCTAAGCATCTTTGAGAGAGGACATTAAAGCAAACAATGCCTCTCTCGGTCCCAGTCCCTTGCGGAACCAAAACTGAGTATCATCCATATCATCTTCTAGTTTTCTATATAATCTTCCATGAATCACCTTTAGAAATATTTTGAGGGTATGGCTTATTAGTGATATTGTCCTATAGTCTGAACAATCTTTGGCATATACTGTTTTTGGTATTGCTACAAAGGTGAGCACCAACCATTCCTGTGGGATTTTTCCAGTTTTATATACTTCATTAAATAGGTCCAGAAGTACAGGTAGAGTTTCATCATCTAGACATTTCAGTAGTTCCGCAGGTATTTCGTCTGGACCTACAGTTTTTTCCGTTTTTTTTTCGTTTCGTATTACTTGTTCGATTTCCTCTATTATGATCTCTGGCCCCGTTTTGCTGTTGATTTCTTCCGGTTCTTGTCGATTATCCTCAAACAGATCTGTACTGTATGTCTTCAATTTTTTTAAATTCTTTTTAATTTCTATAATGATTTTTCCATTTGCGTCTTTCAGAAGGGCATCTTTCTTTTCTCTCAGTGTATTTGTCGTTTTCTTAATTTTACTATCATACTGTTTAGCATATGCCTCTATTTCACTGCATTGGTTAGCAAGCCAGGTGGATTTGGCCTCTTTTATTTTCTTTCCTATCAATCTCTGTAGTTCCTTGTATTTTGCCTTACTCCTGCCTTTATGTTTTCTTCTTTCCCCAATTAGATCTAAGATTTTTGAAGTCATATATCTCTGTTTTTGTCTTATTTTTGTCATTATAGCAAATGGCCATTGATTCGAAATTGAAAATATCGTTGCTGAAGAAGGTTTTCAATAAAAGCAAACATGTTACCGTGAATTTTCCAATTGAGGAGTGTAGTTAAAATATCAAAGCGCCATACTGAATCAAAAGCCTTTTTTTATATCACAAAATATGGCTACACAATTGTTGATTGCAATAAATGATTCGTGAATTTCTGATTACAATGATATTAAGTTATCTAATGTTGATCTAGTTTTCCTCAATCCACTTTGTTTGGGTATAATAAGATGTTTATGTTTAATATACCACATAAGCCGATTGACAATGACCTTTTCTAGCAACTTACACATTGCATTCGTGAGAAAGATTGATCTATAGGATTCTGCAAAAGAGTTTCAATAAATTCAGCAAAGCTTATAGGATTATTTTTTATTGGTGAAGTATCATTGATTATTAATATTACTTTATTTTCTTCAAATCGTTTCTTATTTAAGAATTTTATTGAATAGCTTTCAGTACTGGAAGCCGTACCGAATCTATAGCTAAATCCAAACTTACATATTATAATCATAACGATAGTATTATATTATTATAAATGATGCCGGTGTAAAATGTTTTTTAATTCATAATATCAATTATGCATTAAAACTTACCCACTGTGACATCTCATGGGTATCAGCGTTTCGGTGATGGTAGTTGAGAATAAGAATGGTAGAAACGACAGATGATGCTACCATAAACATAATGCAATTAAAATATGTTCCAAGCAGTGGTACGGCATCCGACGTAGCAGGCATAGTTTCAGCCACCATGTTCAAAAATACTGTAAGAGAGAGTAGAATAGTGACTCCGAGTGAGAGCTTTTCTCCCGAATCCGGAGGCAAAGTAAAACCAAGAACTGCCATGGATGCTATTAAAACGCAAGGTACTATAAGGTTGAAGAAGTAGTAAAGTGTGCGCCTTCGGATTAGAATAAAGAATGTTATGTCGATATATGGCTCGGGGCAACATTTGTAGTAGATTTCGTTTCTTTTTCCTGGTACCCCTGAAACAAAAGCATCAGATTAGATCTTTCTATTACATGTTTTCATTCTTTAAATATAATCGAGCCAAATTTGTTATAATACAATTAATATTGATATTTATGCATCAGACATGCTTAATTGTTATCATCTACAAAAAATTACATCCTTTATTTATTGTAATTTGTTTCTGCAAATAAAAACAAACAATAATCAATAAGTTTATCACGTAATTAACATAGGAAAAATCCGTCCAGTGACAAAAATCCTTTTTTACAAATTTCTAATACATATAAATATTTTGAAGATAAATAATAGTCTACAAAGGCATAGATAGATATATAGATAGATAGTTTATTTGACTGTAAGTTACAACTAGGTTTACAGCAAATCAAAACTAAAATTATAAATATTAAATATTACTAAAAATGGAAACAATACATTAAAAACATTTAAAACATTAAAATACTTAAAAAAACGTACAATATAGACATATAATTATAATAACAATAAATTTGGTTTAAATATTTAAATCTCTAAATAGGTTTTTTCAAGACCAACCACACGGAACACCTGCTATACATCTGACAATACGCTTTTGGGCCTTGAAAACGTCCTTTACACTAGAAGAACCACCCCAGACAGTTATACCGTAACTTATTGTCGATTGTACCTCAGCAAAATAAAAAAGACGAAGGTGTTGCAGACTAAGTATTCTACCCAAATTTCTCAATTGATAACATTTAGAATTGAGTTTTTCACATACATTCCAACAATGAGTCTTAAAAGATAAATGAGAGTCGAAAGTCACTCCTAAAAACTTCACATCGCTACAACTCAAAATATCCTCACCATTGATGGAAATACTTAAATCAGGTTTAGTAGAATTTAAACGTGATGTAAATGATAAAAATTTAGTTTTGTGAACATTGAACAGGAGTGACTGATTACTGGACCAATCAGACAAGGTCTTCAGTGAGTTTGTTATTTTATCATGAATGTGTTGCTTGTGTGAGTCCATTTCAAATAGGCAAAGAAATAATAAATAAGACTTACTCACAATCAATTTAATTTAACTATCTGACTACTGACTACCGGTTTCGCTTTCTACATTATGCAAAGCATCCTCAGGTCTCGATACAAAGTTAAACAAATACTGAAATAATAAAAACCCATATTAGGGTGTTGTCCAATAACGATAAACAAAGTAGATGTTGTAAATTACAATAATTATGCCAATATTACATGTCCGAGAGACATTCGAATAAGTATAAATAGCTTTTAATAACACAATGATGTATTACATTACTTTCATTTAACAAACAATCACACACATATCTCTTCTTCATTGGATCAAATCTATCTCCTCAAGAACTTCCCGTTTACTGTCAAACAACTGCAATAATAGAATTGAGTTCTCCATTCAACAATATATAGTAGTTTCAACCATGTTCTACCATCCATCAATTAATAGAGTACCGGCATGTAAGTAATGTTTATTTTATTTATTTATTTGCTCATTTGTTAATTTATTACAATCGAAGAGACTATTTTATAACAATTTGTGGGCCTTACCTTGTCTGTTTAAACTTTTAAAATTTTTATACCTTTTATTCAACTTACTCATTTAAATAAAACCACAGACATGTAATATTGGCATAATTATTGTAATTTACAACATCTACTTTGTTTATCGTTATTGGACAACACCCTAATATGGGTTTTTATTATTTCAGCATTTGTTTAACTTTGTATCGAGACCTGAGGATGCTTTGCATATTGTAGAAAGCGAAACCGGCCATCAGATAGTTAAATTAAATTGATTGTGAGTAAGTCTTATTTATTATTTCTTTACCTATTGTTATTTTATCTTGTAAAAAATGTATGTCTTTATCGCGATATAGCATTGTTGAGTCATCCGCATAAACTGATACAAATGTATCAGGCATTACATGTGGTAGTTCATTAATATACAAAATAAATAATATAGGCCCAATATGGAGCCCTGTGGTACTCCATTTTTATTAATAATCGGATCAGACATTAAAATCTTGAAGTTATTTTTCACTTTAACTATTCGGTGCCGGTCTTTCAGATAGGAACCAAACTAACTATGGGCAACTCCCCTAACACCATATCTGTACAATCTATCGAGGAGTACATCGTGTTGCATACAATCAAATGCACGACTGAGATCACAAAAAATGGCAGGTGGTCTCAATTGAGAGTAAAATTTCCTCATAAAAACTGTTAATGGCTGTGGAAGTAGAAAATTTATTTCGAAATCCATGTTGAGGCTTTGTGATAATTTGGTTGATATCTAAAAATAATAAAAGTTGTTTTAGCATTGCATATTCAATAATCTTAGATATCACAGATGGAACAGACAATGGTCGAAAATTTGACATTAATTCAGGATCACCTTGTTTTAATACCGGTGAAATGATAGAAGTTTTTAGCATATTGGGAAAAACACCAGTATTGAAAGAAGCATTTATAATGTGAGCCAGTGGTGTCAAAATTTGAGACGCAAGTTTCTTAATTACTATACCTGATATTTCATCAAAACCACACGATGCTTTGTTTTTAATTTTATATTTTATTATGTCTAAGATATCTTCCTCTGTTACATAAGATAGGAATAAACTACTTTGAACAAAATCATTGGAGTGCTGAAAATTTAAATTTGGTTTAATTATTTTACTAATTATATGCACTGGTGCATCTATAAAGTAATCATTAAATTTGTTTGATATTATATCTGAATCTGTAATCCTAGTATCATCTATTTTTAGACAGATATTTTTGTGATTCTTTTGTTTTCCATTAAGTTCATTTATAACAGCCCATGTGGTTTTTTTTTTGTTACAGGATTCCGAGATTATGTTAAAATAAAACTGACCCTTTGTGGCCTCAACAAGAACTTTGTGCTGATATTTTTTTTGTCTATGTAGAGTTTTTAGCTAAGGGTAAGTCTTACTGAATATACACAAATCCTTCAGACTATCTGAGGAAGATTTTACTTCTTGGGTGACCCATGTTTTTTTTGGTTTTGGTAATGTTTGGTTTCCCTAATAGGACAACTAATATTGAAATAGAACTGTAATTTATCATGACAGGCATTATATTTACTCTCAACATCAGTTGCATGATAAACATCTTGCCATGTTTTTTTACTCAAAAGATTGTTCAATGCGTCTATAGCACCTTCATGTGTTACTCTGAAAATAATTCGAACTGATGTCATAGTTAGATTAATAAAATTCAACCTCCAAAGGAATATATCGTGATCCGATTCAGTATTTACATTTACAGTACATACACAATCATCACTATTTGTATATACCTGATCCAAAATATTTCCGTATGTGGAAGTCGACCATGTAGGTGTAAAGTTCCTGGGTGACAAACCATAAGATGCTAGAAGACCAGAAAATCTGTGTGAATTATTTAGTGTCGTGGAATTTACATTAACATCGCCTGTTAAAAATATGAATTTAAAATAAGGTTAAGTTTTTCATAAAATATATCAAATTTACCTTTAGGAGATCTGTAGAAAACTAAAATTGTGTGTTGATTTGAATTATAATGCCACTTCAGCCCACATACCTCAATGTTTTTTTCAACACAGTACTGATAGGGTAATACATAGGTATACTAACATATTTAAAAAACAGCAAAGTTAAAGTGCACACACAGTTGATACAATATATGAGTGAAGTTATGAGGTCCAAGAACAATATTTTTTAAAAATATAAACTTTATTTCAAAGGAATTTACTTAAGACAATGAAAAAATATAAAAAGTGATGCTATAAAACAAAAGCAAACTTTATAGTCCCAGTGAAACTTGCTGACGCCGCCCTATTTAGTTGAACTAGCAGTTCTTATTTCGTAACTATTCCGGGGCTGGATGAATATGGGGTAGCATAGTGTGAAGGAACGAAAATTATCTGGCACCCTTTTTCTCGTTCTGTGGGTTCCTTTGGTGGTCCTTCATTTGTCGTTTTTCTCTATATTTGCAAAATGGTGTAAACAATGAAAATATTTACTGCAACATATAAAATTATAGTATAAAAACTGACATGTTGAAAATGAACGGGAACTGTGTCCAGATTGTCTGTTTTATTTTCTTCATGTGCTAGAGCACTTTGCACATTACTTAGTTCATCTAATTTTATTAAGTTTATTTTTATTGTTTAAAAGTTTAGATCACTGACCGAGTTTTTTTATTCTTCTTCTTGGAGTGCCTGTCCGTTCCGAACGTTAACGATCATTCTGGCTACGATGACTTTGTTAGTTGCTATACGAAATAGCTGTGTTGAGATGTTTCCATACCATGCTTTCAGGTTAGCAAGCCAGGATATTTTTATTCGTCTTGTGGGTCTTTTTTCTTCAATTGTCCCTTGCAAAATGCATTAAAGTAGCTCGTATCTGCCTTGACTTCCCATTATATGTCCCAAGTACTGTAGCTTACGACCCGTCGATGTTGACTAAATCCGTAGTTGTGTTCATCCTCCGCAGTACTACTTAAAATTTTGACCTGATTTGTATATTTTTCATCTATTCAGAGTACCGCTGATTGATTCCAATACAGGTTAGCTATTATTTTTAAGTCTTTTCCATCAATCCCTGTCCTTTTTAGCACTTCCATCATTTGTTTATGCCTGACTCTATCGAAAGCCTTCTTGTAGTCAATCAGGCATGCAAAAACATTACAGCTAACATCTCTACATTTCTGAAACAATACCTGCACGCTAAATAAATATTTACTAGCATGTAATCAATCTGATTTCGTACAATCCTTCCCACAGAATCCTGTAAAGATTTCCAGGTGTACAGATTCCTTGGGTGTAGCTTAAACCAGGTGTTTATTATTACTAATTGATTTGCTTGGGCAAAAATGTCCAACGTATCTCTCCGATCGTTCCGCTTTCCTAGAGCAAATGGTCCAACTGCAGATGATGTCTTGCTGGCCCCAACTTTGGCGTTGAAGTCACCCATGACAATTGTTAGGTCTTGAT